TGAGCGAGTGCTATAGAGGAACCTTTTCAATCTGACTACCAGCCACTCCACACAAACATACACTGGGCTAACCTCGTTGTCCAAGTTATCGCGTCAATTGCCAGCCTTTCACGCCACAACGATAGGTTCATGCAAGTCAGATTTGTTATAGGGAGAAAAATGGCCTGAGCCGTTGAACTCACTCTTATCCCCCTCCCAGATTAGTCCACTATTCGAGTCGGTAGGCTGTCTGGTGCAAGTAATGGATGCAGTAGACGAAAAAGACAGGAAGGCCGCCTGTCCCTGCAACATATATGACCTGACTACTCACACGAGCTGGACTGTCCGGATTTTACACGTTTGGGAGTGTCATAGGGACTCAGTTAAGAAAGAACCACCACAGGCCGACTTAGTCCACCAGTCGGTCACCTCGCGCAAACTCCCACTGGGCTGACTACGAATTCTCAGTTTAATCGTCAGTTCTGTCAACGGATTTTAGCTCTCTGTGATGGTCTCAAGCATGGTAAATTATTTATAGGGACGATTTTGCGGTCAGAGTCGACGTCACTCCTCACTGTATGATAACAAGTTTATGTGGTTGTAACGCCTACCAGAAACGTACTGTTTTACGTGAAAGACTGCACGATGAAGTACAAACAATAAAAATTTATGCGGGGTTAAGTCACTCTTTCGATTTTCCTTCGCAGAAAATAACTGTTCTCTGAGCTTGTTTTGGTTGCTCTTGGGATAGCATCGCATAACAAAATCACTCAGGCGAGTTGTGGTAGCATGCCTTGGCACAGGCTTACGCTGCTCTAGCCTCTTATGCCAAATCCCTCTATCATTTGAGATGGTCGTACTGTCTTTGTGTTTACTCCAATTGGAAGATAAACGTTCCATCCTTTACAACAGTTCAGTGTTTCTGCCACTCATATGTCTAAGGTACTCAATACTTCCTAGATTCAAGGGCATCTTAGTGGGTCTTTTTGCGTGCTCTTAGTGGCTATTTTATCATTATAGGGGGAAACTTGTAGCAAGTTCGCTATGAAGCAGTCGTCTAGGTAATTAAATATCCTAAATGCTAGCGGGGTGGTTGCTCCATTGAAAGTAGAATTGCTCCCTATGTACTTTGAAAATGCTGCTGGTTCCAGGACATGGATGTTCGAAGTCTGTTTTTGATTCATCGTAAGCTAACGCACCTGCAAACCATCTCTTCTTAACCAAAGTGACTATGGTTGTCATTATATTGAAAGCATAAACCGCTGTCTGTTCTACAGGACCAGACTGTCAGAACGGAGCCAACCTTGACTTCTTAATACACGAGTTTACAGTTTTTCCTGTGTTACTCCTTGATGGCCTCTATCCCAAATCCGCTCATACTTGGCTGTATGTGTGTATACGGATCTGCTTTTTCAGCCCGTCTAACATGTTTGCCTTGCTTTTTTAGAGCACTGCCCGAGAGGACAGCGAGGCTCGCAAGGAGAGAGAAAAGCGTGAGCGACAAGAGGCCTCCATTCGAAAACGTGAAAAAGAAGTGAAAGAGGCCCTTTCCAACACAATGATGGAAAGGGATAAGGAACGCGAGTCTCACTTGCGTTCCGACGCAGAGTCCACTTACCACTCGCTTCTTGTCGACTTAATCAAAGACGATAGCCTCTCGTGGAAGGAAGGCAAAAAAATCCTCAGAAAGGATAATCGTTGGGAGTCTGTCGGTGAGATTCTGCCCCGCTCAGAGCGCGAGAAACTTTTCTTGGCCCACATCGATAACCTCGTTAAAAAGACCAAGGACATCCTGTACAAGTTCTTCAATGATTGTGAGTCGGTAGGTTCTACTTTTCTCGGGTATAACCTAATCTAATGCTAATTTTAGGTAACTTTCTCGAGCAAGTGGAAGGAAGTCAAGCGAAAATTGCAAGAGGACTCCCGCTTGGAAAAATTGCTTTCCAACGAACGCGTAAGTTGACGTGCTGGCGATAATAACTCTGGTTTAGAAATGTGAGAATGAGTTTAACTGCTGGGCCGACGAAATGGAGTCAAAGGCCAAGGACAACTTTATGGACCTTTTGAAAGAAAAATCCTTCCTTCTGCAAAAGTAATCATCTTCTTTCCACTAACTTTTTCTTAGGGCTAAACGACAGTCGTCGCAGGAGGATACATTTTTGGACGATGTTCTCAACACATTGAAAGTATGTATTTGTATTCTTTTACATATTTCTTTAGGAAGACAAACGGTACAGTGCGCTAGACTCCATACATCCTCAACGGCTCCTGCTCCTGGAAGAGTATTTAGACAGGCTTTCCGACTAACAGCTTTCCCACGCCTGCAAGACTTTTCCGAGTGTAGATGGTTGAATTCTTTTTAAAAATGATTTCCTACATTTTACGCTGTTTGTTGATTTTAACCGGGATAGTGAAAAGCATTCGTCTTCTCACTGTATTGTGTCCACCTGCACATTTACAAACACATTATGTATTTAAATAAAAAGGAAACCGTTGCCTATGTTTTGGTTGCTCTGCTGTGCTTCGTTCGGTGTTCCATCTGTGCATACTTGTTTTCCATCCGAAGTAGGAGTGTAAGGGCACATTTCCGTTGTGTTTGACGTTATTAACCGGGCTTAGCAGTAAAACGGACGCTTACTGCCTCTTGTCTTTATTTCTCATCTGACCTCAGACTGCGAGTGGGTATCCTCCAGGGTTATTATTATTATTATCCGTCTACGACGTACTGATAAAATTGGGGATATCCCGACAAAAGTTTTGGTATGGGACGTTGCAAAATCAAGATCATCGGCGCTGTTTACAAACAAATCAGCTCCACTATCGCTCATGCGTTCGTACCCGGCCATGTAAGTACGCGTGAGTGGAGGGCGTATGCCGATCGCAACTTGCACTATCTTGTGATTAATTAACAGGGGACAGCAGAACTTTGCTCAGCAATTGTCCTCCAGGCGAGCTTCTTGCGACACGGACAAAATCTACAGCAGACTATGATAAGCGGCGCTTTGTACAGGTAACAAAGATGGCGAGTAGGGCTTTTTAGTCGTTGCCGCCTTTAGCGTTAACCAGATGTCCACCTTTGGGTTAAAAACTCGTATAACCTACGTTTGATATCAAAAATGCGTGAACTGGTCTATCCTGACATCACAGAAAGCTGGCGTATGACCCTTCGTACGAAATATCTCATAGAGGGATTCGGTACTGGTTCATGACCCAGAAGGTTCGAGCCATTACATCCTTTAGTACGGGACTTGCCTGTCAATTTTCATTGGTACTGCCATTAAATAGTGCTCCTTATTGGAGGTCTGTTACTACTAACATGATTTCATTCCGAATTCAGATTCTCTGCACGCGTATGTGCCTTTACAAGCAAGATATTTTCTATACAAAATACATCACATTTTAGCAGTCGCGGAGACTCGCTACCAGAGTTAACACATGTCTCGTTGCTTGGTCGCTAGTGTTGTCTTTATAGAATTTCGAGCAGGTTTAGCAGCATTTGCTTCCTATATGCAGCTGGCGTTTTCAACTGGGGCCTTCAGCGGAATGGTTGAACGCTTGCGAATTGGGCTCCCGACAACCGGCGTTCATATTTGAATGGAATAAGGCAGTTTGGGTTTTCTATCAGCAAGCTTAGACTAGATCTCATATAAGGCTGTAGGTAACCGAACTACCGATGCGTTTTCCTCGCATGTTCGGATATTGCCTCTGTCTCCCTAGTCCCAGTTTGGTCAGCGTTGCCTCAAATTTAGTTTTTCCACGATGTAGTAGTGCTTAGGCTATGGGATGTCGTTACATAACAACAGGCAGCCTGCACTAGAAATCTCCACAGAGTTTGACAACAAAATATTTCTACATTTGCCTGCTTCGATCTTGCCTCTTTGGTCTGAGGTCTTTTACCATAAACAACGGTTGCTCAGATCTTGTCCTTAGTTGGCCAGATTTTTGTGTTAGTTGAAATAATTTCGAGATTTAGGATCGCAAATCTGACTTTTGAGGAAAGTTGGTTTAACGAACGACACGTGGTTTTACCTTTGGCTGGTTTGATGACCTAGAATAAACGGGTGAATCAAGGTCAGGCTAGTTGCCCCTGCTGCCTTCTCGTCGCCCTTTGGTAGGTAGACGGGATCTATTAACTCCCACAAGTATAATAATGCTTCCTCCACTGGTCTCTGACCAAACGAAGTTCCTTCTGTATCGCTTCTATGTCGCCAAGTTTCAGTCAGGGCCAATACCTTCTGTCTTTGTTAAATCGGGCTGTGTGAGATTTCTGGGACCTTTATTATCGGCTGCTGACCAATAATAGTCACAATCGGGGGTAGAATAGTTAAAAATCGCCTATGGATACGCCAAACAGTAGAACTCTTTCCTCTGTTGCACAAATCTACGTCCATATGGGTCCGTTGTAGGATTTGCGAAAACTCTATATGCTACAGTCAGTGATCAATATCATGACACTAACTGAAATCCTAAAGTGAGTTTAGAATTGTGGGTTAACGTGTTGATTATTGTGAAGCATGATCCCAGGATATTCCAGTTACACCAAAATGTCCACGTTGGACTAAACTTATTTCAGGTTGCCTGCATAAATAGCACTTAGCTTGACTACTAAATTGACAAAGATGTTCTCCATCGATTTTAGCTGCCGTTATACACTCAAAGTTGTTTCATAGTTAACACGCTCAAGAATGTTTTCTTGCACACGTTTGGTGACAGTTTAGGTCTTGGAATTAGATACGTAGAAATGAATATTTCTCGGATTAAGAAAAATCCGATTGCGGGATATTTTTGAGAACCACCGGACGTTTCACTTTCCCACAAGTTGTTTGCAAGAAAAACTACATTCTCCTAGGTTATCATGAAGATCCCTTATGGATTTCGATAATTTTGGCAGTGTATCGGTACTATATTGTACATTTCGTTAGAAAAGTAAATAAACGAAGAGGTTAGGTGCTTTGCGGCTGGCTATTTTACGGTCTTAAACATTTCACAAATACGATCATACAAAATCGAGAATCAATGGAAAAAAATCATGCTTAGGCGTTTTTGCTATGTAACCTAAAATTATTGGTTAAAGCAAACTCTACCAGGCGGTTAAATAATGAACACCCGGGCGTTTTTAGATTACACGCAGCTGCTCCCTGTCTTCGTATGTTTGACTACTTTAGCGGGCCTCACCATATTCGGGGAAAATTTTCGGAAGTAGGAGCGTTCAAATGTGTCTTCAGGTACGAACTTCTTAATAAGGGATTGCGGCACTGAGAGGCATTTAACTTCTGATCCCCATAAAGCGGTCTCCGTCGAAAATCTTCAGTCTCTCGTTACTCTCTTAGTTGGGGATATTTTTGTATCTGTTGGGTGTACTTTGCTCGTGCTCCTTGCCGCCTCTGCGGAGCCAACTGACATTAGCAAAAAGGCTTCTAGTTTTAAAATCTAGTATTCCGATACTGCACCGGTTCTCAGAAGAAATTAATTATTTTTTAAGAGTTCTGCAGTTCCATACTTTTGCGAATGTGACCTGGTTGTTTACATACTGCCAAAATTCTCAGGCTTGCGCCTTGTGGAACACTCGTGGCGTGTGGGGCGTTAGTATTCGAAGTTAAAATCTCGAGACACCTCTGACGAAATTGGTATAATGTTTCCACAGCAGAGTTCGACTCGTGTAATGCATTTTAATAATTCCTTAACAAATTATTATTATGCATTCATCTACGTAGAGGATTTAGCCTAGTATTCGAAGTTAAAATCTCGAGACACCTCTGACGAAATTGGTATAATGTTTCCACAGCAGAGTTCGACTCGTGTAATGCATTTTAATAATTCCTTAACAAATTATTATTATGCATTCATCTACGTAGGGGATTTAGCCTGATCTACTGAGGAGCCTATACAGCCGAAAATCGAGGAAACAGCTGTGATTTTAGTCGGTACCTTTGTTGGTGGTATGCTTAAGATACATTTGCATGCAAGTAAAACTACCAATAGGTTTACAGGCAAGAGTACTACGCAGTTACTCTGCTGAATTCGGTAGAATTGAGTTCAAGTTGTGGTACCTCATCGCGACGAAGTTACCTTGAAAAAAATTCACAAATACATGCGCAAGTTACTGGTCGAACAGCCCTTCTTAACTCGACGTATTGGTAAGTCGCCTTACATGATAGGATAATTTATTCAAATTTACAGCTGTAAGTCGGCCTAATACTGATTAAATTCCTACTGGAATTTACTGGAACCCAACAGGAACGGATTGCACTTGCCGCCCTCTTCGTTTTTATGTCTAAAAGTTCGTTAGTAGACGCTCGTTTATGCAAGCCAATTAATTGGCCACATTGTCATATCTACTTAAGCATCTGCGCCGAAAGCGAACACGTCTGTGACTGGAGTCCTTACCATCTTATGTTACCTTGGTACACGAGTAAGACTGTTTGATGGGTAACATTCGTACCTTTGAGTTGACCCAACTTAATAATTCGTACCTTTCGCTTAATGTTTAATGGGCTCCAGCCCATACCGTACATGGGTTACAAATTGTACGGTGATTGGTCCCTCCAGTTGACCGGATATCTGTCGTGGAGTGGGAGGAGAAGGTGTTTGTCCCGTTTTTTAAGGAGTTAGTACAAGTTAACTCAGTGGCGCAGAATTTTGGTCCACAAAGTTTGGTTTGGCGATATATGCTGTTGTTGACACATTTTTCTGTCCTTTTTAGGGACTAAACGAGGCGACAGTACATCCCTCTGATCCCAACTGTTAGAACTCTTTTCCTCCATCGCCATCACCATCGCGCAGGAATGTCCGACAGCCCGGAAGATCCACCTTCATTTGACAGTCTCTTAGCAACCCCCGTCCGAAGCTCCGATGGCGTCGTCACGGTGCCCAGCACGATTTCTCGAAGAGCTGCTCCTGGAACCAATTTGGAGCGTCGGGATGACAATGAAAATCTTCGGCTTTCAAATGAGACTTTCGAGGAGGACGAACATAAGGAAGTCAAACGGGACGGGTATGTTAATGAATTGTGTTCTACATCCTTGTCTATGCTCATCTTCCTTTGCCACGAGTTGTTCGCCAACGGTTGAGTGTGTATAACAGTGAGGTCTCTGGCACAATGCCGCAGGCCAAATGTTTCACATAACAAGGCCAAACAGTTGGTGCGTGCTCTCTTTCGATTAGAGCACCACTTCACTCCGGTTTTCAGGCGTGGCTCAGCAGTATACGACAGTGATAGATTCGGGCTTTGGTAGTGGCGAAGTGTCTGCCAGAGGCCAAGGCGAGGTCATACGAAACTTCGAAGCTATCCTTAACTGATTCTATGTACAATAATTTGATCCAACTGGAAAAAAACTCGGCGCTTTCGGTGGTATTCGAACCCACGCCAGCCAGGTGGCTACCAGGCACACCTCTTGAAGGTCTGATGATTTTGTCCTTAATAAAGAGGTGACTAATAGAAAATAGTGATTTCTATTTGGGATTCTTAGTTTGCCATCAACAACCGTGAGCGAGATTTCCGCACCAGCGGATGAGGTTAAGTGAATCGCCCATCTTCCCCGAAACAGGTTGCATGGTCTAAACCTTGTGTACACCGGTAGGAGGTACTAAAAAGGGCACTTATTTTTTTCGAAAAGCTTCCTCTTCAGAAATGCCAGCTCGGATGTACTAATAGATCTCGAGAATTGTGTTTTCCGGCCATCTGTTGTGACCTCGTCAAATATTTGGCATCCGTAGGCACAAT